CCTTTGACCTTCTTTTTTGACCTCACCAGCCAGACTTTGCACCAAATGAGTGTGGACAACTCGGGATTTTTGAAGCTATTCGCCGAAACTCCAGATGATAAGAAACGCATCTCTCTCCTCCATTATGCCTACTTTCATGCCAAGAATTCCAGCGACAAGGAAGACAGCTGGGAGTCTCTCTCTGGAACTGTAACTACTGAAAATCATGGTTTGGAACGCCCAATTTTGACTCTGATTGCGGACGACATACAGTGCATGGAGACGTCAAACTTCTTGGCTGAATTGATCGCTTGTTCGGCCTACAAGTCGTTCGCTAGTCGCACCCACCCGAAGCAGGTGCAGAATTTGGTGAAGATGTTTCCCTACACTTCTTCTGCATCGGAAGGAGACATTGCGAATAGAGGTTAACAATTATTTATTGGCCATCCTATTTTTTGAAGAAAAAAAATAAGATTAGTTCCTAGTTCAATCCTGAAAAATTGAAGAAAAAGTGATTTAAGTAAATAAGAATATCATTGGCAAAAATTTACCACTAAAATCAAGTTTTTGAGTAACATAAGAGTACAATCATAATTATAAAGGTTAGCTAATGAATGATTGCAAAACTTTCTCGCTAAATGGAAAGTTGCGAAGTACCGAAAAAAATATCAAGGCAGTGACTTCAGTGATCTTGCTGTAGACTTCTTAGAAGAAAATGGAATTTTCTTGCTTTATTATTACTCTATTCTAGATTATAGCAAGATTTGCTTTTAATTTGCAAAACTTTTGCAAGTTTGCTTTTTCATTTGTCAAAAGTATGCCAGATTTTGCATTCATCTTGCCTGCTTCTTGTCAGATTTGCATTCCATTTGCAGGAAAAATTATCAGTTCTCTTGTTTTGTTACTGTGTTTCTGTTTAGATTGTGCTCAGTATTTGTTCCGGGACAAAGAAAACAAACCAGTTTCAAGTGGGGGTGGAGCTGGAGCAGAAGGGGGAGAGGGAGGGGGAGGCAATGTGGATGGGGGGAGACCAACAGCATTTCACATGGTGGGAAACAGTATTTCCGAAGAACGAAGTCTACTCGTAGCTGTTGCATGCACACGAATACCACAGGTTACTAAGCCGAAGGTTTTCATGGCCGAAGGACCGAATATACGAAACTTTTCGACCAGTTGAATATCCTCCAAAGTGTCCTAATCTTACTGATTTTTTTCTCTTGCTTCTTTCTTAGTTAACAAACTGAACTTTGATTGATTAATATAATTTTCAGTCATTCGGTCCTTCGAAAAAAATGAACATTGCTCTGTTTAGGAATTGGTCCATCAAGAGGAATTGCCTTTGAAAATTTTTTTCTTGGACTCAGGTTGCTGAAAAAAATTTCAGTTTTTGAACGATGAGATGAAGCTATTATACGGCTTTTCAGATAAGTCAGTAGGCGCGGGTCTATGAATTTCTCGAGAGGGGGGGGGGGGGCGAATTTTCAAAAAAAAATTTGAAATTTTTTGTCGACTTTTTTTTAGGTCGAACAAATTGATTTTCTGAACTCTCCCAAACCACTATAAAGACACTAATTTTACAAAATTTTCTGCGCCGCAGGCAAATTTTTGCAAAAAAAAAACAGGCCAAAAAAGCGTTTTTAGGCACTTTTTGGGAAACTTTGACCAAAAAATTGCGTTTTTTCGGCGCGCGCTCCCTCCTCAAAATTAGTATATATTGGCGCCAAAGGCGCCTTAAGAAAAATTTTAGGGTCCGTAACCAAAAATGGATATCTCAAATAGTTCAAAGGGGGGACCCTTTCGGTTGGCAGGGGGTCGAGTACCTAAGAAAGAGCGTCGCCCCCCCGCCCCCCTTAAGTCCGCTACTGTAAGTCAGTATGAACTTTAATGGAAATAATCATAGAGTAAACTGTCATCCGTTGATTTTTGATAACTTAAATTAAAGAAATTTTTTTTTCTCGTAGATTGCAGATTATTTTGGGCCGAAATGTCCCAACCAAAAACTGTTCGCTGCAACTGCCAAGCTGATCGACAAAGCTAAACACGAGAACGCGAAACGAACCCTCAACGACATTTTTAACAGCGACTCCAACTGGAAACGACTCAAAAACGGGCGACTGTCCTTCAAACATCTCTCGTCCTACAACCCTAGTGGAAATCCACCCAAAAACAGGGGGAAATATCTACCAAAAAGTTCATCTTTGGTGTTTCTGAAAAATAACAAAGGTATAATTCTCAATTTGGAAGCTTATAATCCGCGTTCAATGTCAGATATGCATTTTTGGTCCAATCGAATGATGAAAAATTTTTTTGTTTTCAACACTCGAACCACTTTTCATAAATAAACGTCAGATGGCTAGATTGGATCGAGTGGTTAATCAAATGAAATCCTTTTTTTTCGTGATGCATATTATAATGAAATCAGACTGCAACAAAAAGCAGCTAAACTACTTTCTCGGAACCTAAAAAAATTATATGAAAGTTTTTGCTGGCAGAGTAAAGAGTAGACCAAGAGTGCATAAAAATGAGAGTCAGTCTGTGTGATATTTTATTAAAGACCACGAAAACATAATTAAGACTTCGCAGTAATGACAATAATTACATGGCAGTTTAAATGAGAGTAATTACACGATGACTTAAAAATGATAAGAAAAACCATCCCCTCCACCCCGATCAAAAAGCAAAAAGCAATTCACGAATGAATAGAAATATGACTCAGATTGCTTTCCATTCTTGGTTTCAGCTAAGGGTGCTTTTCATACTTGATCTTCAAGAACGCTATTTGGTATTTTTAAGCTATTTTCATTCAATTTGGAGCTTATTTTTACTCCAATCCCGCTACATACAAAATGGCTGATGTTTTTGTTATTTAAAAAGTTTGCCATAAATTATTCATTTTTACAAATATGACCACGTGCACGGAAGTTTCTGATAAATTATAGAGAACATTTGTCGAAACTTTGTAATCCAGCTTTAAGAAAATAAAAGCATATTTGCTTCAGATGACCAGAAGTGTCCCATACTTTGGTTCAAACTCTCCTTCTTCATTCGAGAGTTGAGTGACCTCAAAAAGAACACTGCCTCTTCAAGGTTCTACACCGAAAGTCGAGACGCCCTAGTCGAAATGTGTGAAGTGTTCTGCACGCACCTTATGCAACAAGTGCACTTTGTTCTTGAGTCCTTCTGGGAACTTTGTGAAATGGGATCATCGGCGCCCTATGTGCCGCCCAGAAATAGCCAACAAGGTGTGATTTGTTCTAAAAATGGGCTGAAAACTCTCAATCAACGGGCGGAACCGAAAGAACGCTTGCTGCTGGAGTGTTTCCTCAAAACTCAAATTGCGGTGGAGTCGTTGGGATTTGAAATGCCGCCAGCCTACTCAGACTTTGTTTTTTCATTGGGTACGTTTTCTTGTTTTTTAGTGAAATTTTTCACTCCCTACTTGAAAACTTTTCACAGCACGAACAAAAAAAATTCTAGTAAGCTTCTCTTTTTCATGATTTTTAGGCAGTTTTATGTTAAATCACAGTATAGTAGATAGTGAGATATCTTACCAGTGTGGTCAACTCGTAGAATATTGTTTGTCATAATACACCGCCTATAAGTCACGTTATCGGTTTTCGGGGGAGATGTTAGTGCAACTCCTTAGTATAGAAAATTAGATCTTAATCCTACTCTTAGTTTCCTTGGTCTCAATAGATCATATGTATAAACACTGATTTTTTGAGTTTGAGGTTGACATTAGTTTCTTACGATCAGTCGGTAAAAAGTTCTGAGTACCAACCAAGTTGCATAAATAAATTTGGAGCAAATTTTATAAAAGGAGTGGTAGCAAGGGTACCGTGTTCGTCCAGAAGAAAAAATTAAGTTCAATTACTGATTAAAACTCATCAGTCTCTTAATTGAAGCCAAAAAAAACTTAAATTGTGAGCTGACTTGATCCATGGAAAAAAGCAATTTTTAAATCACAAAAAAACTCGTGCGTTCGTTTCGTTTGCAATAGTTTTTGAATCCAATTTTTTGAAACCCATTGGCTCTCATGCTTTAATAAGGTTTTTAAGTACTAATACTTTGTTAAATTACTAAAAGTTTGAACTTAACTCACTTAACATTATATTTTTTCCAGTCTATGGTTAAAAAATTTACCTGTCATAATTTTTGTTAATGGGTTGATAAGAAAAAGTTCAGAACAACTCGAGAACTAATTTATGACTCTTTTCCACTTTTCCCCCACGTTTGAGTTTCAGTTTTGAAAAATAAAGTCACAATGTAATGAAAATTTGCATGTTGAACAAACTAACTATTGTGAACACATTTGTTCTTCATAAATTACTTCGTAACATCACGCGTTCAGCCAGAATAACACGAGGCGAGTGCACGTAATTCATTCTAATTTTATAACCAGTGATTTTTATCCGAGACCAAAACTTTAAAATCTGTACTGGTTTTGTTCCGACTTTCGTAACGAAAGTAACGGAATACTTGGCTCGGAGTGATTTTTTTTCAGACAAGTTTCGACTTCTTAACTAGTCATTTTTGACGGAACTTTTTTTGATATCATTAAAAAGGTATTGTTGTGTTGAGGTTGAGCTTGAAAAAATATTTTACCTGTAATCATTTTTCGTAAAGTTATGAGAGTTTAAAAATTGCCATTTTGGCCTATTTGGGGCAATTAACGTGCTATACATTTTGCGCTATTAACGCGTAAGCGGAGATTTAATCCGTCTTAGAAAACGTTACAAATTGGTTAAAGCAAGCAATTTGCCGTGATTAATTTGTTTTTTAGGAGCGAAAACTATTCCTATGGCGTGTGGGGGAATGATTTTCACAAAAAAAAACAGATTTAAAAATTGTAGAAGAAAAAACGTCAAATTCCCTGCAAAAATTTAATTGCATTTATTGTTCCGACTTTCGGTACGAAAGTAACGGAATATTTGTGCTCGGGGTGGGTTTTTTTTTCTTCAGACAAATTTTGACTTTTTAACTAGCCATTTTTGACGGAATTTTTTTATATCATTCAAAAAGTATTGTTGTCTTGAGCTTAAATTTAAAAAGAAATTTCGCCTGTGATCATTTTTCGTAAAGTTACGGGGGTTTAAAGATTACCATTTTGGGCATTTTGACCAATTTGGGACAATTAACGCGCGATATAATTCGCGCTATTAACGCATAAGCGGAGATTTAATCCGTCTTATAAATCGTTCCAAATTGGTTGAACGAAGCTAATTTGCCATATTTGATTTGTTACAAGGAACGAAATCTCTCTTTTTGTACTTTAAATGGCGTGTGGGGGGCTGATTTTCATAAAAAATTTTAAATTTAAAAAAAAAAAATTTCATTTTATTTTATTTCATTTAACTTTTTTTTATGTTATTACTGCTGCTCCATAAACCTTAAAAGGCAGTCGGAACATTCAGGGCTTCGCCCTGATACGAGCAGTCTTGTTAAACATATTATTCAAACTATTAAACAAAAAGGCAACGCGGCAAATTTCTTTTATTTTTCTTCGGTCCCACTGATTGTGGTTCACAAACCTGCGGTCGCGCCGTTTGTTGATAAATTTCCTGGGTCGCGCCGAACGCAGACACACCTCCTTTTAATGCAAAACTTAGAAACAACAAATTTGGCCATGAAGGTTTAAAATTGCCCAGTTTTGATCGCGACACTCTGGAAACTCTAAATTTGGTCGCTGTAATCAAATCCTAAAACCACAGCCTCAAAAAACTTTGTTTTGTATAAAATTTGTTCAATTCGAAAAAGCAGTCTGTTAGCTTGTATAGTCACTATAGTCTCTGTAAAAATCTGATAACAAGCAATTACACAACATTTAATTTTCGAAAATAAGGGAAAAATTGAGCCTGTGGTTTATATATTTTCTCCCAAAGTTTTTGGGCTTTTAGCTAGCATTTTTTCTACAAAATTTAATATATACTTTGAAAGATATGGATAACTTGAGCTCTATTATCAGTTTGAAATTAGTCAACTGCCAATTGTAACAATTATAATAAATTTTCATGATAAAATTTATTATAATTGACGCAATATAATTTATAATAAAAACTTTTATAATTTCATAATAAATTTTCCGTGTGAACGATTTAGATAAAAATTTATCCCTTAAACACTTCTTCTTGATTTAATATGCTGTAACTTCTGCTTGTAGGAATCAGATCATACAGTCTGTCCTACTTCAGCGCCATGTTAAACGGAGGAGTGTTCAAGCTGTCTCCACATTCTTGCAGAAGAGTCTTTGAAGAGTTGGATGAAAATCAAGGCGTGAACGATCAATCTCCGTCTTCAAACGACGACTCATCATCAAAGCAAAAGGAAGTGTTTTCATTTAAACACGACATTCTTCTTAGATACGACTCTTTGTGGTTAGTAGCTTCGTTAAGAAAATCTTTTCACATGAGTTTTTGAAGTTTTTGGAGCTAAACCTATAACATCATCTCAGGGTTGGATTCAGGATTTTTTGACGGCAGTTCGGCCCCATATCCCGTCAAGAAATATCCTAGATCCACCCTTATTTGATGAATGGGGGTCGGGCGGGAATTTTCAATAAATTCTTAAAAAATTCGTTATTTTTTATGTACTCTGCAATTTCTTGAACTCTCCTAAAGCTTCAAAAAGACTAGTTTTTAACAAAGAAAGATTTTATACAGCCGCCGAAGTTTTTAAATGCCTTTTTTTGGCAATAACTGGATCTCGAATTCCTCAAAAGGGAACGTTCTTCTAAATCTGCTCCTGCATCAAGTGCAACCTAAAATAGCTCCATATAAAAAACTATAACTCAAATCACCAAATTTTACTTTTAGCCCTCTAGCAGATATTCAAACTGTTGTGAACTGGGAACCGGGCAAGCGAATTTGCCAGGAGATGGCACTGATGAAAAAACTATCTGAAGTCACCGGCTATTTCGACCGCGGACCCCTACCTGCTCCCCCGAACCCCTTCCCGTCATTCGGCTCATCCACATCTCTCGGCAGCTCCGAGAGCAGCGAGAGCTTCGACAAAGCCGAGAGCCCCGAAGGTGGTCCCTCTGTACCTGTAGATTTAGTCAGTGAAGCCAGGACGAATTTCAGAGCGTACATTTCGTCTAAGCTGGGCAAAAACAATGCATCCCAATATTTCGTCACGCCGCCTCCGGGTGAAAATACTACATCTCAAATTGACGACAGTTTGTGGTTCTATGATTAAAGTGCTTGCGAAGCTATTTTTTAATTCATTACCTCTCGAAATATTTATTTAGATAAGTTATAAACTGTTCAATATCCATGAAAGTTGATGAAAGTTTTGAATGGCCACCAGTTTTTTGTTTTAGAGTTTTGTGTCAAAGCTGTGTGAAATCTTTTCTAGGATGTTGTTAAAAGCGCGTTGTCTCGACAGGATTTACCAGTGAATCAATTATTTGACAGTAAATCTATACCAACGCTGGAAACTCTCCGGAGCAATTTGAGAAACGATGGTCGCATGGAAAAATTTAACATTTTGCAAATGACAGTTTTGCGGAAACAGAAAACAATTCGAAGGTGCAGGAATTTTATTTATGGTTGTTGTATTTGCCCGGAAAAAAATACCCGATTCCAAAATTTTTCCTAGAAATTCTTACTCAGAACACAAAGTTTTTATTTAAGAAATAGAAACTTTGTCTCTGGGAGTCTTTCGTGCCCAAAAGATCATAGGCGCGAATTCTTTGAACTACCAATTAGAGCTCAGAATTGAAAAATTCGAAAAAAAATATCCCAATAAGCTCAGTCAGTTTTGGGCAGTTTATTGGGCGTTGATTGGTTGAGAGTTTTCGTGCATTCGGTCTTTCGCGCGTGAGAACAGCCACATACTTCTTCACTCAAACCGAGAAACTCAAAATACCTGCCTGCGTAACAAAAGTATAAAAGAATTATAAAACTTAAATTAAAAAAAAAACTGGATGCAAAATTCATACATTCGATGTCATTGTAACTCCCTTTTTTAGAACATAAATAACGACAGTCTTTATTCTTATGCAGTGAAATGGTAAATGAATTGGTGTATAAGAACGCCTGATATCAGAATCGAGTCAAAAGTAAGTCCTGCACAGTAGTTTTTAGTCGTGACGTCAGTAGTAGTATTTTGAGGCCAATTTTCCTCAATTTCGTCATCAACTATGTGAGCTTCGATCCATTCTTCTAAATGAGCCGTCATTCCAAGTTCGGACAGCTGGCAATTGAGCGACTTAGTCACTACATAACCCGACAAGCATCGTTTTTTTGGATCGTTCAAATCTAAACCGAGAATTGGGTTCCCGACGTCCTGTCTGCATAGCTTCTCGACCGCTTTGTCGTCTTTTTGCCCACAGGTGTATTTTGTATGCAGGGGAAGATTCGGTTCGCATTTCGTTATTTTTACCTCAGTAAAAGTGGTGTTCAAATTTTCAACCTGCTTGAAAGAAGTGAATACTTCTTCCCGCCAGTTGTTGCAGAATCTCAATGTCGTCGCGGGCTTTGGGGGCACTGCGTTTGATTCTTGTGCAGGTTCGGCAGGTTTGAAGGGTTTGATTGTCACGATCACTATGTTGGATGTCACCGGGTCTGTCGAAAAGCTGAAATCGTATTTTGGTTTTTTGAAATCAAAAATGAAATTTTATTAGAGCTCGGTTCATCTACTGTATCTTTTAAACAATTCATGTATATCTTGTAAGACATCCTTGATTTATTTTATTTTTCTTTCCCTTCTACCCCTCCTCGCATAGGAATAGGTTTTGTGTCATAACCAGGGGCGGATCTAGGATTTTCTCGAGGATTTTCTGAAGATAAAATAAATCCTAGTTGATATCCTAGTTAGTCTGCAATTTGTTTTAGAACAAATGCTTCAAATGTAGATTATTTGCAGATGAGGGGATAGGAAAAATAGACTGCTCGTTTCGAATTGTAAAAAAGTGTTTTAACTTTTTACAGGTGCAAGGATGAAGCGAAAGCAATTTCTTCGAACACAAAAAATACTGTCGTATACAAATGCTCAAAAAACGTGCCAAAAATGCTGTATTGAGGAACTTTTGGAATATTTTTAACAAATTCTGTCGATTGCGCTCCCTTCTCACATTTAATATTGAACTTCTCATGACTGCTAAATTTTTCTAAGAAAAACTTTATGGTTGGTTGACCAAAAAAAATGTCATAGATGCAGGGATGGATCTAGGATTATCTTGAAGGGCGGATTTTCAAAAAAAAAAAATCGATTTTAGGGTTTTCAAAAATTTTAGGGTTGGTGACCGAAAATGGATGTCATGAAAAAAACCAAAGGCGGAAAACCCTTTGTTTGGTGAGGGGGTCGAATCCTTAAAAGAAGAAACATGCGCTCCCCTTCCCGCCTCTGCATAGATGTAAAGCTACCCTTTCGTAGCTCTCTTGATGGTCGAAAAAGGCGAACCTCCGCTGATTATTCTGAGCAGACGGCGAATCGATTGTGCCAAAATGTTTCAAAAAACCCGAAAATTAGTCAAATACTTTTTGTTGAAACAGGATAATAACTTCGTAGAATTAACACTCACTTGGCCGGTATGTCGATTTTGGCTATCCCAGCTGTGTGGAACTTCATTCTCTTGTCTGTATTTTGAGTATCGTTATAGGTCACAGTCGCATCTGAAACACATACTTTCAAAGATAGAAAGTGAGAAGTTTTTCTTCAGCGTCGTTCGCGCTTTCAGTCAAATCTGATCTCACGCTTCGGTTCCATAGCAGTAAGCAGACAACCGCGTTTTTTTCCTAAGTATGCTTTCGCATCGCGAGTCTGATTGGTTAAAATTGTTTTTGTATACCTACAGACGATACAGAATACGCGGTTGTTTACTTACAGACCGTCATCTTCACGCTAAATCTCTTTTCTTTTATCTGTTAAGTTGATACTTTAGAACAGATAGATATATAATTTCAAGGTGTGAGTATAGCTGATTTTTTTTTTCGATTGAAATGCATTTTGTAACGCAAATTGAACAAAAACTTTTTAACAATTTAAAAATTAACCCCCAAAGGAAATGAGAAGCACCAAAATTTTATTCCACTTTTTAAGGGAGAACCACGATTGAAACCTACTTTATATTATTATTTTTTTCCGATCTGCGAAACTGAAGGCACTCTCGCTATTATCACGCAAAAAAAAACAAATAATGGTGAGCCTCGAACTCTCTGGGTTGAGATTCAATATCCTCCTAATAAGACTTCCAAAACTCGTAGGTATTTAGTTTTCGCAACCACCATAGATAACGTGATCACGTTTGATTTTCTCACCCCTCCAGTATTTCTCATCGATCATTTCTCTGAAATCTTTTGTGAAGCAGTAAGCAGTCGTTATCACTTTGTTTTCCTTCACGAAAGTTCCTCCGCATCTGATGCTCCCATTCTTGCCTGTCGGAATTTCCAAGTGGGCAAAATAAGCGGGCCATGATAACCTTTGTACTTCGCATTTTGCGAAACTTATCAGAACAAATATTGCAAAAAATTTTACCCAAATTGCCATTTTCATTTTGCCAATTTGCCAATATTTGTTGTTAAATTACCAATTTTTATCAAATTTCAGTTTTGAATTATTTTTGAATTATTTGAATTCTGTCTTGAAAGATGTGAAATGTTTGTGGGAACCAAAATTTATGGCAGTAACTTGAAATGAAGAGTCGTTTGATTTCAAATGAAGTTCGTCGATTTAAGCTGAAGTTCTGATTTACTGTCCGCCATTTAAACGGTGCTTTGTCAATTTAAAATCAGGTCACTACGTCGAAATTTTCAAACCTATAAAGGCGGCCTATAGTCGTGCACTCATTTAGCAGACAAGTCCCTGAAATGGAACCAGGGTGTTGCATTTATCACTCTAAAAAGCTTTAAGTACAGCTTTTCAGTGTTGTAAATGTCAAAAAATTGCATTTGGAAAATCTTAGACTACTTGAGTATTCGGTTCGTTACTGCTATATGAAAATGCACTACAATTCAAGCGCTTAGTTATTCGCTTTTAAAAATTTGATGACCAAATTTGAAAGCAGACATCAAAAAGTGTCTACAAGAAAGTAATTTCTACCAACAAGGGCTCATTTTGATGCTAGTGTGAATTTATATCATATAGAAAGTTTGTCTTCAAACTCATATGAACCTTCGACTCATTGTGAATCATCCAATCATCTACTTTCTGAAAATATGACATAAATGAACAAGTTGGAAATTAAAAAAAAATCAGAATATCGAGTTTTGACAAGTCTTTTTTAGCACAAAGTTACATGATTAAATTTGTATTTTGCTAAAAAATTTTTTGAAAAAGTATAACAATTTATCATTTTTTTTTGCTTAAATTTGTGACCGCAAAATTTTCAATAGCAATGAATAAAATTTCTGAAAACCAGCGAGCTTATTTTGCATGTAGAAATGCGCATATATCGGCCATTGAAAACATAAGAGAAACTTTTATGATTAAGAGTTTTTATATTCAACGTTTTTAGTCATTTTGCTATAGATTGTACCGAGCGTTGACGTTAATTTCTTCATAGTTCACACTTTTATTGAAAAATATTGAACTTTCAGAAAATCAAAAACTCATGTTTCGTTTCAACTCGTTGTTTCAATGCAGGTGATTCTTGTATCCAGGCAAAAATATCAGCCAAAACAGTTTAAAAGCAATTGCAACAAAAAGTTTAGATTTTACTTGATATGTTGATTTGAACAAATACGCTATTAAAATTGAGTTTTTAATATGCAAAAGTAAACAGAAACATTTTTTGCAGAAAACTATTTAGCGGAAAAACAAGCACATTATTTTTCATATTCCAGCGACAACCCATTTTGTATTTTATATACGGACGGGAGGGGTTGTGTTTTCCATTCAAAATGTTCTATATTGTTCACCCCAAGGCTCCATTCTGATGCAGCATTTTTTCTTTTTTTATAGATGTTTTGTCGCCCGTTGATTTGAAAAGCAAAATCAACTAGAGTACGGATGACACGTCAATGTTTAATAATGATACAAGGAAGCTGTTGACAATGGAAAAAGTTAATTACCGGGACAAGGAAATTAGAAGATCAGAGTATATTTGAGTTTCGACGGTACCCCCATCTAAGAAAAGTGGAAAAAAATCAATTATAATGGGTTTTTGTGGTCTAAAATGTATTTAATATAGTCGATTCCCATTTTGCCCCAGACAACAAAAAAATAGTAATTTTGATTCTAATCCATTGTTTTTATCCAATTTAAAGTTAATTATAATCCATTCAAAATCAATTAAAATGGACTTTTCCAATTTACTTTTAATTCACGTAGTTTATATTTTGTAAAAATTACTGCATTTATCAAATAAGTAATGCAAAAT